TATGTGACTGCCCCACCCCCCACCCCACCCTCGCCTGCCTTGGCCCAGCCGGAGCCTGACCCAGCCCTTCCTGCCCAGATCATCAACACATACACGGAGGCTGTGCAGACGGTGGACCCCTTTAAGGCTACCGGCAAGCCCCACACACTGTGGGTCGCGTTTGCCAAGTTTTATGAGGACAACGGGCAGCTGGATGATGTGAGTGCATTTGTGTGTACATGTTGCGCGTATGTGCGTGCAGACGCGTCCTTGTTCAGAGGATCCGGAGCGGTGGGTGGGCGGGTTTCAGCCTGGCCTCTGCCTGCCCTGGCAGGCCCGCATCATCCTGGAGAAGGCCACCAAGGTGAGCTTCAAGCAGGTGGACGACCTGGCGAGTGTGTGGTGCGAATGTGGTGAACTGGAGCTCCGGCACGAGAATTACGACCAGGCCTTGCGGCTGCTGCGGGTAAGCACCTGCTGGGTTGTGGGGCAGGGCTGCAGGTGTGCGGCCAGCCTGGGGTGCCCCATTCAAGCTCCCCTGCTCTGCTGTCTTCCTATAGAAGGCGACAGCACTGCCCGCCCGCCGGGCCGAGTACTTCGATGGCTCGGAGCCTGTGCAGAACCGCGTGTACAAGTCACTGAAGGTGTGGTCCATGCTCGCTGACCTGGAGGAGAGCCTTGGCACCTTTCAGGTGAGCTGCTGGAACCCAGGGGTTGGGGGAAGGGGCAGGGCCACCACCGCAGCCCCAGAGCACGCCCCAACCTGCCCTGCCCTGCAGTCCACCAAGGCTGTATATGACCGCATCCTGGACCTGCGCATCTCCACGCCCCAGATTGTCATCAACTATGCCATGTTTTTGGAGGAGCACAAGTACTTCGAGGAGAGCTTCAAGGTGAGAAGGGCCCGTCAGGAGGTCCCAGGCAGCGGTGTCCCCAACCCGCTGCCTCGAGCACTGCGTTCGTCTACTTGGCTACTGGGAAGCTACTTGGCTACAGCAAATCTATTTCCTCCCAGTTCTGGAGGCTGGAAGTCCGAGATCGGCAGGGGTAGTTCCTTCTGAGGCCTCTCCTTGGCTTGGAGAGTCGTCTCTCCCTGTGTCCTCACATAGTTATATGTGTCTCTGCATGTTTCTGGTGTCTCTCCGTGTGTCCAGATTTCATCTTATGAAAATACCACCATATTGGATTAGGGTCCACTCTAATGACCTCATGTTAGCTTAGTTAATTCTGTGAATACCTTATCTCCAAATTCTAAGATGCTGGGGTTAGGGCTTCAGTGTGAATTTTGGGGGACACAGTTCAGCCCATCCCAGGTGCAGAGTCCTGCCTGTATGTGTGTATGAGATAGGGGGAGGTTGTTGGCGTGGGTGTTTGCAGGCTGTGTCTGCCCCGCTGCTCAGGCGACCGGCCGTAGGTATGCGGGGTATTTTATGTGAGCACGTATATGAGTGGATACTGTGCATATACATGGATGGAAGGGGATGCTCATGTGCCGCCCCGCCTGAGTGACAAGCCCTGCCCCTCAGCCTGGGCTCCAGTGTCTGCCGAGCTGAGGATCCACACCCCTCTTCACCCAGTATGTCACCTAGTGGTGACTTATTGAGTCCTGGTCCAGCCCTGTCCTTAGGGGTCCTGCAGTCTATTGAGGGAGACAGGCAACATACAGACCCTCTTGACTGCACCACGATTGTAGGAAGGGGTGAACAGGGAAGGGGCCCACTCACTGAGCCGGAAGGGGATATGGGCAGTGTCCTGGCAGACTGGGCACCAGGTGGTCTCGCCCTGCGGACTCACACGATTCCGCCTCTCGGGGCAGGCATACGAGCGCGGCATCTCACTGTTCAAGTGGCCCAATGTGTCGGACATCTGGAGCACCTACCTGACCAAATTCATCGCCCGCTACGGGGGCCGCAAGCTGGAGCGGGCCCGGGACCTCTTTGAGCAGGCGCTGGATGGCTGCCCCCCTAAATACGCAAAGAGTGAGGGAGGGCCAGGTGGCTTGGCGCAGGGTGGTGGGGCGGGGAGGGGTGCCGTGGGCCAGGCTACCGACCTCTGACCCCCTTTTGTCCTGTCAAAGCCCTGTACCTGCTGTATGCACAGCTGGAGGAGGAGTGGGGCCTAGCCCGGCACGCTATGGCCGTGTACGAGCGTGCCACCCGGGCCGTGGAGCCTGCCCAGCAGTATGACATGTTCAACATCTACATCAAGCGGGCGGCCGAGATCTACGGGGTCACCCACACCCGAGGCATCTACCAGAAGGCCATCGAGGTGCCCACCGCAGGGGGAGGAGCAGGCGGGGTCCTGTAGGCTGAGCTGAGCATGCCTGCACCTGGCGGGTGCGATCACACATTCTGGACCTCAGGGAGCAGCCTGGTGTGTGGGGAACCCCTGAGGTGGCTCTCCTCCCGCCTCACACCCTTTCCTCCATGATCCCGCCATGGTCCAGGTGCTGTCGGATGAGCACGCCCGGGAGATGTGCCTGCGGTTTGCGGACATGGAGTGCAAGCTGGGGGAGATCGACCGCGCCCGGGCCATCTACAGCTTCTGCTCCCAGATCTGCGACCCCCGGGTAGGGTAGTGGGGTGTCGGGCAGGTGGGAGGGTGGGGAGGCTGCAGCTGAGAGGACTTGCACGTACAGATAACCTCCATCCTCTGCAGACAACTGGGGCCTTCTGGCAAACGTGGAAGGATTTTGAGGTCCGGCATGGCAATGAGGATACCATTCGGGAGATGTTGCGCATCCGCCGAAGTGTGCAGGCCACCTACAACACGCAGGTCAACTTCATGGCCTCGCAGATGCTCAAGGTGTCGGGCAGCGCCACGGGCACTGGTGAGCAGCAGCGGCCACCCCTCACCCCACCGGGCCCACCCTGGGGTGACACAGTCATCGGGCTCAGGTCCTGTGGGTCCTGCCTCTGCTTCTGTCCAGCTTTGACCTCCTGGGTCTGGGAGCATCAGGGTCCAACTCTGCCTCCTCTGTCTGAGAGTGGAACTCACAGAGGGCTAGGGCCTCGGGGATAGGAGGAGAGCACCCAGCAGCTGGTGTGGCTGTGGAGAGGGCCTGCCCACGGTGTCTGACCCCCTACTCTCCCACAGTGTCCGACCTCGCCCCCGGGCAGAGTGGCATGGATGACATGAAGCTGCTGGAGCAGCGGGCAGAGCAGCTGGCGGCCGAGGCCGAGCGTGACCAGCCCTCGAGGGCCCAGAACAAGATCCTGTTTGTGAGGTGAGGACGAGGCTGGGGGCTGGGAGCAAGTCAGCCCTTCCTTCGGGATGGAGGTTCCTGGGGAGGCTACAGAGGTGGTCGGACCCAGCTGATAAGCGTGGCCCCCCTGCCCCAGGAGTGATGCATCCAGGGAGGAGCTGGCCGAGCTGGCGCAGCAGGCCAACCCAGAGGAGATCGAGCTGGGTGAGGACGAGGACGAGGACGAGATGGACCTGGAGCCCAATGGTGAGGGGCTGACCAGCCCAGCAGGGTGGGGGGAAGGCAGGGGCAGGAACCCCTTCTGGAGAGCTAGAGTGTGACCATGTCCTTCCCACCTCCAGAGGTGCGGCTGGAGCAGCAGAGTGTGCCAGCTGCCGTGTTCGGGAGCCTGAAGGAAGACTGACACCCCTCCCCCCCCAACCCCCCTCCAC